GTTCAACGCCGCTTTTAACAATATTCCAGTTATATCACGGCGTGTCAGCTTAATGTGGGAGGAAAGCCTGGGATGACGCAGGTCCTCGTGATAAGTAGATGAAATGTGTATCAACGTACGAAAACAACAATTGCTAAAACAAACCTGATCACCTAATGACAAGCCACAGTGAACTGGTTTTCGTGTTTACGTCAATACATGCGGTAAACCTGACATGGCATGCAGGCACACTTGAGGTAAAGAGGAACTGAAAGAGGTTGTGGAAGGTACCAATCTTTCCAGTGTTGTAAATAGATCTCATTACGTTGCTTCTCTACTTCATCTTAGTGCAGAATATTTTCATCAAAGCAATATCAGAAACGTTAGACAACCATTAGCAATGGCGAAGACCTGTTCTACCATTGTTTATAATAGACTACCAGCCACGGCCATAACAGAAGTTCATCTCAGTGCTGTGGCAGGTGAACGTCAATATCTATGGGGGTCGTTTTCACTAAATGGGGGACGGGCGCGGTTAGCCAAATGTCTTTGGCGCAGCATCTTCCTGAGACAAGGGAGTTAACTGACTGTAAAACTCCAGTTTCCATCCTATCCGAACTAGGCTGGAATGTCTGGACTCGATCGTAGCGCCACCAGTGGCTATTACGAGTTGTGTCCCTTCTATGTCCCTCCGATTGACCAATCAGATTCCTCCTCTCATATCACTTGCATTTGCTTCAAATGATCAATAATCAAGATCTATATTGTAATAAATCGGGCCTTACCTCGCGGAGTGCATCAGATCACGTAAGCACCTTAAGCACATTAAAAACATGAAACGACCGAAATTTGCACATTGCAATCCATGTTGTTTACGGATCGGATGTCTAGTTCGTTACGAGATTTAGATTGGACTGCACAGACTCGTTAGTCCAGCCAAAATGTAACTCCGGAATTCCAGCCTACTTCGGCAAGGCCGGAAACTGGACTTTTATAGGTGGTGAGGAGAGTGACACTGATGAATATACATTTTTGGTCACATTGGTGCAAGCTGGATAGATTATTTTCTGTAATCTACAAACCTTTTCTCTTGTTATAAAACATTTCAAAGTCATAGCAGAGCAGAATTACACGACCTTTCAGGTTATTACCAGCACAATCTGTCATGGACGTTATATAAGGGACGAGTGTCTGTGTTAGGAGTCCTGTAACATATTGCATTCTGACCGTTGTAAACAAGACCTCATCTGTGCTACTGGTTTGATAACAGAAGTATTGATAGTTCTGTAGACTTATTTTCATGTGCGTTGCTACAAGCGACCTCTGTATTCAAGCGGAACGCTAAGTCAAAGAGATACTTCACAGGGAAATGGTATGATAAAGAATGCCATAATAGTTAGCTAGAGGCCCGGAGAGCACTTAGAAGGTACAGAAACTGCAACAGTTCGGCTTCTTTATAACGTTTAAGCAACTTCGTAATAGATACAAGTCAATCACTAGATGTAAGTGTACTTCATTTAAGAAAGAGCAGCTGCATATCTTAGAGGGATCGCTTGATTACAGTAAATTTTTTTGGAACAAGTTATATACATGAGTTGTAAAAGTCCTTCTCAAATAACTATTTGTGCAGATATTTGGTACGAATATTTGGTACAAAATATAAAAAGAAGCAGGTTTTAGCCCCGAATATGCAATAACGGATAATGCGCTCCCACTAAATGCTTGTATTAAAAAATGTTTCAGTAATATTAGAGTTAGATTTGATGTTGCCTTTGTAGACTTGAAAAAAACAATTGATTCTGTAGACAAGAATTGTTATGTATGTGCTTCGAGTGTCCTATTGGACTAAAACAGGGCTGTGCACTACGCCCAATTTTATTTTTATTTTTTTATTAATGTGTTGGCTGCTGAAATTCTTGACACGTCGAAGAGGTGTACAATTATTCTCCGACTTACATGAATTGTTTCTACTGATGTTTGCTTAAGATGGTATTTTTATTTCTGATCGAGTGAATGGGCTACAGGAGCAACGGAATATTCTAGATAATTACTGTTCAGCTTTGAAGCTAAAATGTTAACATGTCAAAAACTAAACTAATCGTTTTTCGTAAAGGTGGAATTGTTGAACAATGTGAGAAATGGTATTATCGTAATGAGTCGCATCAGAATATAAGTACCTAGGAGTTGGGACTAACGATGACTCCATCTTTAACTTTAACAAGAGCAACGTGTCACATTTGGCGTTCAATGAGAAAAGATCACCAATAAATGTTTTAAAATTGGTTTGGACATATGGAAAAATCCCACTCGGAACATTCTTCAACTATTTGATTAAAAAATTTAACCCACCCTTCAAAATATGGGGACATTAAAGATAAGAGGTTGTAGAAACTGTCCAACATCTAGCATGTAAATATTACCTTGGTACATGAAATAACCTTCCAATGTAATGGCTTTAGGGGAATGTGGACGGTACCCATTGTTTATAAAAACTTCGGTGAAAAGCATTAAATACTGGCTAAATCTACTTCATATGTCATCTAATAGACTTCCGCGTAAGGCTTACGAAATGTTATTTAATTAGGATATAAACATTGTGTTTTCAATGTAGAGCTAGGATACCTGTAGATTTAACCGTTATTGAATAGTGTAGTAACCGTAACTTTGTTTTGTAGCCAATAATAGTACATAATTATTCATATATGCCTACCGACAATGACCAAAAGAAGTATCATTCTAAAATTATTAGCTTCTGTGGTGATACGTCCATCAAATCGGCTTTTTCAATCATACCTCTGACTGACCAATCAAAATCAAGTATTTTCCAAATTCATGGTAGAATCTTGATTCAGTAGGTAGACTTATTCAGGTCTTGACCTTGAGTACATTTGCAACCGATTTTACTTGTGTGAGAGTTGGGTGTACAAGGCTTAATATTGAAGCAGGAGACACCACATAATTATAAAATCTGAAAGATTACGTTCATATTGTAATCTGAACAATATTAAAGGTATCTATCATTTCATCTTTATAAGTCCAGATACCACATAAATATGTAATTCGACCGACAGTCCAACGATTTATTCGCCTTATGGCAACCTCATATTATCAAGATTTAAAATCTGTAATATTTCAAATATGTCTTCAAGATCAGAAATGTACTGAAACGAAACGTGTGAATCTGTTTGTAAAATGATCCTATAATGCCTTGTATGCACTTCATGTATTTAGGCCAATGGCCTTTCTAAATAAACATTTGAATTTTAACCGTGCATAGACAATGGGGTCTATTACACTCTCCCAGCAACCTATTACTGAAGGGACATGTATTCAGGGCTTGTTTCTATTTACCTTGTCAGAACTTTCTTCCACATCGATAGTAGTTTGTTGTTTAAAGTGCAACTTACTACTATTGATAAATAATTGAATCTGGACCAGACAAACCAGTGATTGATACTATGAGTGAGTGAGTGAGTATGGTTTTACGCTGCTTTTAGCAATATTCCAGCAATATCACGGCGGGGGACACCACAAATGGGCTTCACACATTGTACCCATGTCGGGAATTGAACCCGGGTCTTCGGCGTGACGAGCGAACGCTTTAACCACTAGGCTACCCAGCCGCCCCGATTGATATTATGAGCAATGATTCATGCTGTTGGGTACATGAAACAACCAAGTCACCGAGCCGGACCACCAGGTCCATTCAGTCACCTCATATGAACCTAACCTGACCTGGAAGACCCAAGGGTCCTTGCACAGCTGCACTGTCACACTCTCTGATGAGGCACAAAACAAGGTAATATGAATACTTTATTTCACCATCACACACACATCTGACATTTCACATGTCATCAAGTTCAAGTTTGACAGATTAAATGCACTGTATCAACAGATAATATAAGGAAGAGAATATATGGATTTCAACAAAGGTTTCGGAGTATATGCTTACTCCTTCATCAGGTGAATGAATGCCATGAGGCAGAGAGCATATATATGTATATGTAAGGACAACAAAATTAATAAGATGACAAAAGGTGGCAAAAAAACAAAGGGTAGAAACTAACAAGGGAAGCTAACAGATGATTGGCGCTGATAGGTGATTAGCAATAGACAATGGAAGCCAACAATGCTACAGTAATTAGCACTGTCATCTTTGTCATCTTATTAATTTTGATGAAGGAGTAAGCATATACACTGAAACGTTGTGTTCCTCATAATAAAGAAGTTGACATAGTGCTGTCATCTTTGTCATCTTATTAATTTTGATGAAGGAGTAAGCATATACACTGAAACGTTCTGTTCCTCATAATAAAGAAGTTGACATAGTGCTGTCATCTTTGTCATCTTATTAATTTTGATGAAGGAGTAAGCATATACACTGAAACGTTCTGTTCCTCATAATAAAGAAGTTGACATAGTGCTGTCATCTTTGTCATCTTATTAATTTTGATGAAGGAGTAACCATATACACTGAAACGTTGTGTTCCTCATAATAAAGAAGTTGACATAGCGCTGTCATCTTTGTCATCTTATTAATTTTGATGAAGGAGTAAGCATATACACTGAAACGTTCTGTTCCTCATAATAAAGAAGTTGACATAGCGCTGTCATCTTTGTCATCTTATTAATTTTGATGAAGGAGTAAGCATATACACTGAAACGTTCTGTTCCTCATAATAAAGAAGTTGACATAGTGCTGTCATCTTTGTCATCTTATTAATTTTGATGAAGGAGTAACCATATACACTGAAACGTTGTGTTCCTCATAATAAAGAAGTTGACATAGCGCTGTCATCTTTGTCATCTTATTAATTTTGATGAAGGAGTAAGCATATACACTGAAACGTTGTGTTCCTCATAATAAAGAAGTTGACATAGTGCTGTCATCTTTTTCATCTTATTAATTTTGATGAAGGAGTAAGCATATACACTGAAACGTTGTGTTCCTCATAATAAAGAAGTTGACATAGTGCTGTCATCTTTTTCATCTTATTAATTTTGATGAAGGAGTAAGCATATACACTGAAATGTTGTGTTCCTCATAATAAAGAAGTTGACATCCATTAATTCTCTTCCTTATGTGTATCACTTATAAATGCCTTTCAAAGTCAAAGACCTAATAGATAACATCTCCAACAGATGACCTTTGACAGATCACATCAGGTGATGTATTTGTCCTTGACACCAAGATCAGTTGATAGCACTAAACATGAATGGCACTGCAGTACCCTACCTCGACATGATGACATTCCTGTACACAGCTCACATTGAACAGACCCACGTCTGAAGATAAAGAAACTATGCAAACACTGTCTCAGTGATTCGGATGTGTATTCCAGGACTGTGTTTCACAAAGCACTCAGAGCGCTAGAACTATCAAAAGCCTATGTTAAAAGTAGTGACGATATGGCGGTCGTAACTACTACAATCACTGAAAAACACAGCCCAGTTCCTTACTCATACCATCACTGACTTCAAGAAGCTGATCACATCAACAGGAAACAAAACCTTAGAGTTCCTGCTCATTCTGTACATGTACTGTGTACGTTGAGGTAAATTATCAAGTCGAATTTCACAGAGGTGACATTCCATACCTCACACAAAGGCTGTATCACTAACACAACAAACATATCTCTATCATCTTTGCTGTAGAGCTGATCTGTCCCTGTGGTTGATCTATGCCGTCCATGTTGTTGATCTATGCCGTCCATGTTGTTGATCTATGCCGTCCATGTTGTTGATCTATGCCTTACACTCATCCTTGGCTACACCCATTCCTGGCTGGCATCTCCCATCTTGGATTATTCCGAGTATTACATCTCCATTCCATTATGAGAAATACCCTGGACACATCTGCCACAATAGCTTTGTTTGGAGCCAAATTCAAATTACAGGACACTAAATATAGATGTCCAATCACATTACCCCCATGAGAGAGATATTCTGTGCCGAGGAAGATTAATATGGGGATGTTTTGTTTGTCTGTTGTTTAATGCCACACTCAGCAAAATTGCAGCTATATGGCGGCGGTCTGTAACTAATCGAGTCTGGACGGACATCAGTGACGGACATCATAAGCTTCGATCAACCCAATTGGGATACGATGACAATCATCAACCAAGTCTGCGAGCCTGATCCCCCGATCCCGTTAGTCGATGTTGGGATGTCATTTCCTCGTTATGCCAGTAAATGGGTCCAGGATATTCATCATAATAGAATGGAGATATTATATACTTGATTGTGGCTGACCATCTCCGACTGATAAAGTGTCGTCTTCACGTTCTCCTCCTACACACAGTCTCCAGGTTCACCTCTTGCTGAGGGGCAGCTTGTACGGCTTGATGCCTCTGTGACTCTGGAACTTGGTGTCCATCTCTGTCTTGTACATCTGATGCAGCAGCTTCTCCTCCAGCCTCTCCACAGCGGCCACCGTCAGGACCAGCGTCTCGTGCTTCAGCATACTGTACACGTTCAGCCCTGGACAGATAACAAACTGTACACGTTCAGCCCTGGACAGATAACATACTGTACACGTTCAGCCCTGTTCTGTGTTTGTCCATGGCAGAACATGTACAGTATGTTATCTGTCCAGGGCAGAACGTGTACAGTATGTTATCTGTCCAGGGCAGAACGTGTACAGTTTGTTATCTGTCCAGGGCTGAACGTGTACAGTATGTTATCTGTCCAGGGCTTAAAGGGGTGTACAGTATAGCCAGTATGTACACCCCTTTAAGCCCTGGACAGATAACATACTGTACACGTTCAGCCCTGGACAGATAACAAACTGTACACGTTCTGCCCTGGACAGATAACATACTGTACACGTTCTGCCCTGGACAGATAACATACTGTACACGTTCAGCCCTGGACAGATAACAAACTGTACACATTCAGCCCTGACAGGTAACATACTGTAAACGTTCAGCCCTGGACAGATAACAAACTGTACACGTTCAGCCCTGGATAGATAACAAACTGTACACATTCAGCCCTGGATAGATAACATACTGTACACGTTCTGCCCTGGACAGATAACATACTGTACACGTTCTGCCCTGGACAGATAACAAACTGTACACGTTCTGCCCTGGACAGATAACATACTGTACACATTCAGCCCTGGACAGATAACATACTGTACACGTTCAGCCCTGGACAGATAACATACTGTACACGTTCAGCCCTGGACAGATAACATACTGTACACGTTCAGCCCTGGACAGATAACATACTGTACACGTTCAGCCCTGACAGGTAACATACTGTACACGTTCTGCCCTGGACAGATAACAAACTGTACACGTTCAGCCCTGGACAGATAACATACTGTACACGTTCAGCCCTGTTCTGTGTTTGTCCATGGCAGAACATGTACAGTATGTTATCTGTCCAGGGCAGAACGTGTACAGTATGTTATCTGTCCAGGGCAGAACGTGTACAGTTTGTTATCTGTCCAGGGCTGAACGTGTACAGTATGTTATCTGTCCAGGGCTTAAAGGGGTGTACAGTATAGCCAGTATGTACACCCCTTTAAGCCCTGGACAGATAACATACTGTACACGTTCAGCCCTGGACAGATAACAAACTGTACACGTTCTGCCCTGGACAGGTAACATACTGTACACGTTCTGCCCTGGACAGATAACATACTGTACACGTTCTGCCCTGGACAGATAACATACTGTACATGTTCTGCCCTGGACAGATAACATACTGTACACGTTCTGCCCTGGACAGATAACATACTGTACACGTTCAGCCCTGGACAGATAACATACTGTACATGTTCTGCCATGGACAGATAACATACTGTACATGTTCAGCCCTGGACAGATAACATACTGTACACGTTCTGCCATGGACAGATAACATACTGTACACGTTCAGCCCTGGACAGATAACATACTGTACACGTTCAGCCCTGGACAGATAACATACTGTACACGTTCAGCCCTGGACAGATAACAAACTGTACACATTCAGCCCTGACAGGTAACATACTGTAAACGTTCAGCCCTGGACAGATAACAAACTGTACACGTTCAGCCCTGGATAGATAACAAACTGTACACATTCAGCCCTGGATAGATAACATACTGTACACGTTCTGCCCTGGACAGATAACATACTGTACACGTTCTGCCCTGGACAGATAACAAACTGTACACGTTCTGCCCTGGACAGATAACATACTGTACACATTCAGCCCTGGACAGATAACATACTGTACACGTTCAGCCCTGGACAGATAACATACTGTACACGTTCAGCCCTGGACAGATAACATACTGTACACGTTCAGCCCTGGACAGATAACATACTGTACACGTTCAGCCCTGACAGGTAACATACTGTACACGTTCTGCCCTGGACAGATAACATACTGTACACGTTCAGCCCTGGACAGATAACATACTGTACACGTTCAGCCCTGGACAGATAACAAACTGTACACGTTCTGCCCTGGACAGATAACATACTGTACACATTCAGCCCTGGACAGATAACATACTGTACACGTTTAGCCCTGGACAGATAACATACTGTACACGTTCAGCCCTGAACAGATAACATACTGTACATGTTCAGCCCTGGACAGATAACATACTGTACACGTTCACGTTCAGCCCTGGACAGATAACATACTGTACACGTTCAGCCCTGGACAGTAAACTTAAAACAGTGTGTACAATTTTTCCTTTGAAAAATCTTGTTCATGTTGTCAAGGCCACAAAAAATATACTATTAAAAAAATTAAAATAGAGCTACAAGGCTCTGATTCTCAGCTTCAGAAGTCTGTTAGCACACCATAGCTGGGATCATTCATACAAAGCTTCAGCTTCATAGTCCTTGTAGTTTCAGAGGTGACGAAAAAAATGCAGTAACACTAGAAAAAGAGGGCTATTTGCAGGGTCAAAATACAAAATGTGTCAAGACTGATCATAATACTTCTTATTATATGTTATTCTGCATACCAAATACTTGCAGTACATCAAACTACATATTGATACATGTAGAAATGGCAGTGTAATAGGCAAAAATGACTTGATAAAAATCGGTTTGGAATTCAGTGAGCACGAGAGTCACCACAGCTGGGATTGTTCATTCAAACTTTCAGCTACGCAGGTCTTGTACTTTCAGAGGAAATGTAAAAAATGTAAATGTTTACGAAGGACAACTGGTCAGACAGACGACGACATCAGCTCATTTTGCTTTTACTCAGGTGAGCTAAAAATCTGAGGTGGTAGGCATTCTATTTTTTAGACTTTTCTTAAAACGATCTTTTCAAAGAATCTGTGTACGTTATTTCATAGTAACCGTCTATGGATGTGACTCAGATGATGAGTATGATGTATTTCATCAAGTGGTCATCAGGCGGCAATGTATATATAGTGATATTCTTCATCCATAGGTGGAGGCACGGGTGGCCTAGACGTCTAAGGCGCCACGATTCGCTGTGCAGTTGCATCCCTTGGGCACGCCAGAAACCTATGATTGTAGGTTCGAATCCCGGTTCGCCCCTATTATGTTTCTAGGTTTGTCAGCACCATACCCGTGCTCGTGGGTTTCACCAAAGTGGTAAACGTCTGAGACCTGCATCACTTCGGGCTTTCCTCCCACATTAAGCTGACACGCCGCGATATAACTAGAATACTGTTAAAATCGGCGTTAAATCCCAACTCACTCACTCATTCATCCATAGATCCTTGAGGACAATAAAATCATGTGAGGTGATTGGGGATGAAAAATCTTATAATTAATATATGATGGCCACAGTTTTGACAAACTGTGTTCATTTAAACAAGTGGGTCTTCTACATCTGTCTACAAGTGACTGAGAGGCATCTCACCATACACAGGCAGCAGGTTGAAGTGGGGAGTGTTGCTCAGGGCCAGCGCTATATTCCGGGGCATGTAGTCCGTGCTGAAACACACGCCATGGACAATGTCACCTCACTGCTTGGAAACATGACTCAGTTCAGGTATTGAAATAACTCACACTGCATATCTTAGCTTGAGGTCTATCACTGAACAATGACCTGATCACCCAACAATTATTTTCATGTCATTCAGTAACAAGTATTTTTGTCAATAACTACATAATTTTGTTATAATTTTTTATAAATATCACCTGAAGAGGCAATTTTGTGCAAGATGGAGTACAAGTGACCCTATTTCAGGGAATTACTTGTAACGGGGGACCGTCTCCCATATGAGTTACATCCCCTACACTACTCTACTGTAGGAGGTGAGGTGAAATTGGGTTTAACGTTGCGTCCAAGATTATTGCACTTATATAGCGACGTGCATGTACGTGTGTGTGTTTGTGTGGCTGCTTGTACTAGTCCGGACTGATGCCGATTTATAGTGCTAGCACACTGAGATACCATGCCGCAGTTTAACATGAATACCCCACTCAGACACAGTATACTGACTCCAAGCCGACCAGTCCTTGTTTAAGCTCCTTAATGCCAAGCACCAGACAAGGTAACAACAAGTACCATCTTTTAACGTCTTTTGGTATGATGCGGCTGGGGATCGAACCCCGGACCTTCCGCTCTCCGGACGGACGCTCTACCATTAGACCACGGAGGCGGTTCTACTGTAGTAGTACTTGCTATAATAATGATGGCACTCCATGATCATGACAACTACTTCCCTGGTCAGTGGATCAGATATGCTGGGTAGTATTAAGTATCCCCTTGTCCTTACACGAGGAAAACAAATTCATGAACATGTGCAAACACATCCTTTACAGGGGTTGATCTGGACCTGCCCAGAGGCCGAAATCTGGCCCCAAATCTGTAGTAAATGTCAGCAAACATTCCCAGATTGGACGAAAAAATATCCCAATTCATGTTATCATAGTCATAACTAATGTTATTGCCTTGCAGAAGTGACATGTATTTCACAAATTACAGGACCAAAAAAGATGAAGAGCCTTAAATACTTTTTTGACTGCATTCACAATGTTAAAAACCTGTGTATTTAAGAAACACTCTATTTTGTAAAAAAGATTCCTTACTTTCCTGCTAAGGGCACTGAGTTCCTAGTTGTAGATAAATCCCTGTTGTAATTTGTGAGGGTGTGGGCTACTTACTCATCTACAAAGAGAGCGGAGTATCCCCAGTACCGACTGTCAACCAGGTCCTCCATGTACTGCAGGAGGAGAGAAAAGGAAACCTTCAGAATCCAAATGATGCCAATGCAATGCCCGCCATGGAGTGTGAAAGTCCATGGGACCATGTAATACTAACACCTAAGATTTAGGGGGTCTCTTAAATGAAATACCAGAGAGTGCCTTATGAACCCCCATGACCCCCTTAATTTCCAACACTGCTCTTTACAATTATTGGAGTCCCACTCATTTGGGGGTTGAAAGATCAAACAAAACATTTCAAGACTCTTAAGTCAAGAGAGTGATCTGGGTTTAAAGCTTAACACTAGGACTTTTTTGCCTTAAATCAGAATCTGATTGTCTGATTGGCACTCATCATGCTTACTTTCACTTTGGCACTCATCATGCTTACTTTCACTTTGGCACTCATCATGCTTACTTTCACTTCAAAATTACACTTCACACAAACACACAAGCCTAATGTTGAACATGTAGATGAGACTCTTTAAAGCATCGGTCGTTGTCAGGTTACCATGGTTACTGCAGTTACTTTATCAACAAATGTTCACATCACATTTTATGAACATTACACATGGATACTAAGTACTTACTTGTGGATCATCAGTGGGTATGTCTAGAGAATCAACTATATGTAAGTCATTCTGAAAAAAAGAAAACCAAAATCATTTATAAAGGCACCATGATAAATGTCTGATAGTAATACCTATTCTTGAAAAATTATTTATCCGATTCTTTGTTGAGAATATGATATTGATAATTTGTCTTCTAAATAAGATAGGCTTTACCATGTTTACGGCATGTAAATTGTTAATATATTATAGTTTCTGTTGAGGACTTTAACAATATTCTACAATGTTTTCATTGACCTGTCTATATTTGACAATACATTCCACTCACCTGTGCATATTTGACATTTTCAACTTACCTGTGCTTAATTGACAATATGTTCCCACTCAACTGTGCGTATTTAATAACAACTTTTTCCTACTCACCTGTGCATATTTGACAACATTTTCCTTCTCACCCGTGCATATTTGACAACATTTTCCTCCTCACCTGTGCATATTTGACATTTTCCTTCTCACCTGCACATATTTGACAACATTTTCCTTCTCACCTGCACATATTTGACAACGTTTTCCTTCTCACCTGTGCATACTTGACAGACAGCGCCACCCTCAGACCCTGCACCCTCACAGCTGTGGGTAACATGTAGAAATAACTCTTAGGGCCCCTGGGTCCCATGGCTCGTCCACCTGCAACATTACAGTTGGTTAATATTTTGTGACGGAACTTTTTTCACTTGGGCTTCAATTAAGGTTTAGGGTTTTGGTCAGGAGGAGTTACCTCCCTTCTACTGTTAAGCCAGGTAAGCCATCAGATGTGTAATTTGGGAGTAATTTGAATCCTCAACAACTTTTTCAGATCTCATAGCTTAATGTTCACATCTCAACTGACCTCACATCGTATACAATTACTTTTCCTGAGAGATTCAGTGGTGTCTTATTACCTGACTGGCCTCCCCTGAGGGTCAGACAGTCTGAGTGCATGATGTCATACGCCGGTCACTAATATTCCAGCCGTATCTACTGTATATCGCCATCTATAAAGCGACCCCACATATAAGACGACCCCCCTGCACAAGCCTTTAAAAATCGCTGCTAATTTATAAACTCCGTCTATAAATGATAATGAACTGTTTCTATAACCAGACAGTGTAATTACATGATTAGTTTGCGTACTTCATTACGGATTTGTTGACATTGGTATTTCCGGTGATACATGCTCACAGTTATGTCTGTGTTTGGGGGAAAAACATCAAAACTCTTAAACCCTGTGTTTAAGACCCCTATTACGAGGTACAAAAAAATGCCTTATACACAGCGATATACGGTATTGTCATTCCAACAGCTCAACGATCAGCTGTGGGCAATGCAACTCCATGGTTGATATACATAACATGAACAACAGTGCTGTCAGTACAGTAGACTCAAGTGTACCCATCTGATCATCATTCTAGTTGCTCTTATGAAAAGCATGGGAGGATAGACATGTCTGCTCGGCCATTAGTCAAAAACTAGTGAAAAATATATTATTTTACCTATCCACAAGTCTGAAATGAGTTAGATAAGACCAATGGTGCTTACGCCTGTATGGGGCAGCTCTTCTACTCCAGAGCCCCCCTGGGCTTACACTTTGGGAGTAACTCACCTCCGACCCACAGAGGTGATCTGATGCTGCTGTGTCGAGCTCTCCCCAGGCCCTTCTGTGGCCATGGCCGCTTCCCGCCCCCCTGCACCTCCGCCCGGGACTTGGTCTTGGCATGTGACTAGCAACAACAAGCATACCACTTGGAGCACCTACTCACCGGTGTAGAGAGCCAACTACATAGAGGCAGGGAATATAGCTAATATTAATATTACCTTCAGAGCTCTAGAAAAGCTGCGTATCTGCTTAAAGTATGCATCAGAAATGCAGAAATATGCAGTAAAATAAAATCCAAGCGTATCAAATACGCAACGAACATTACAGATACGCTACAAAAATAAAACTTGTGCATATCATCAAAATATTGTGAAGTAATCCTGTGTATCGTTTAGCAAATCAGCAACTTATTTTGAAATTATAAACCGTCATTCCGTCAACCTTGCCAAACTCCACGATGACAGTTACATCATGATCATTTGCCATCACACTTTCTTGTGGAAGTATCGTGGTATTTTTGAGTCCTATAAAGCTCTCGAACCCACACGACACCAGTTTGCAGGGACTAGATGAATAGTGTTTTTAAATATTTAACTTAAATACCCTAAAAACTAGTGGGAAACAGAAATTTGAATACCCAGATAGAATTACTGATACCCAATGATTTTAAAATGCATGGGTAAAATACACACAACACCAAAAGCTTATCTGGAGCTCTGACCTTCAAACCCATATTATCACTTTGGTAAACATGGTAAAATAGCACGACTATTTTGTTTATTTACTATCACTTGACCTTTTTACTAATAGCATATCACACACAGAAACAGTCTGTGACTTTAGCCACTAGTTTGAAGCCCAAATCAAGTAAAATCTTGTTTTGTCTAGTAAGCTAGTAGTAAAAGCCCATACATTAACACTAAGACACTGAAAATTATATCAAGTGACAGGTTGGGTCTTGCAGACTCAAAGGTTTGGGGCACAAACTGTAGAAGTTAAATTGTGTGAAAAGTGTTGATTTTCAAGACCCGTGAAGATCCGGGGTAGAATAGGTCTTCAGCAACCCATGCTTGCCGTAAAAGGGGACTATGCTTGTCGTAAAAGGCGACTAACGGGATCGGGTGGTCAGGCTTGCTGACTTGGTTGATGCATGTCATCGATCCAAATTGCGTGGATAGATGCTCATGATATTAATCACTGGATTGTCTGTTCCAGACTCAATTATTTACAGATCGCCGTCATATAGCTGGAATATTGCTGAGTGCGGCATAAAACAACCAACCAACCAACCAACCAAAGCTGATTTTCAAACAGCTGTAGAAAACTTAACTGAAAGCAAGTTCATTTACAAGATGCAGTTTTCACATTTGTAAAGTAGTGTCATGTTTCTGGGCCGATCTGATTCATCACTAATCGTCTGTGAGTCTGCTAATTCCCCTGAGCGACACCATCTCCACCACACAACACACTCCAGCGCCACTACATCGACTCTGTCAGCCAGTAAGCAGCAGTAACACTTATTACACATATACACTCTACCATGACTACAGAGGATTTGACTTCAATAGTATCACTGTATACTCACAATCCTCTTATATGTTGTCTGCCATTGTATATTCTTGTGAAGCATGTCTAACCTGAAAATAAAGTTGAACTGAACTAGAACAGGTTTTTACTCTAAAAAAAAACAAGTGTCTCTCCACTCCTTTTATGCACATCACTTCAAGTTGTTACTATAAATGTGTTTGCACATCCGAAAAACAGTAACAGCAAAGATGTACTGGGCCCCGTTCCCCAAAGCGATCTTAGCGCTACGATGATCGTAACCCTATGTTAAAGTATGGGACTTACGATCACCTAAGCGCTAAGATCGCTTTGAGGAACGGGGCACATCCGAAAAACAGTAACAGCAAAGATGTACTGGGCCCCGTTCCTCAAAGCGATCTTAGCGCTACGATGATCGTAACCCTATGTTAAAGTATGGGACTTACGATCACCTTAGCGCTAAGATCGCTTTGAGGAACGGGGCCCTGGTACAGATTCTGATTAATGCACATGTACAGATTCATGCAATTATTATTCATTACTTTGAGAGTTTTCAAGTTCTGGCTCGAAATGGGTTGGTAACACCGATGACGACGAGAACAAGCCAAAAACAATATGTCTCCCCTCCTTTTGAGAGTAGGACATAATCAGCAGGCTTTGTGTCATTAGTGTCAGCACTGACTAGTGTACCCGGGTAAGTGAGTTATATCACAGCGTGTCAGCTTGATGTGGAAGGAAAGCCTGATGTGAAGCAGGCCTTCGACATTTACCACTTTGGTGGAACCCACGAGCAGGGGTATGGTTGCACCGTGCTGACAAACCTAGAAACATAATCGGGACGAACTGGGATTGGAACCCATAGATCAAGGGGCGCAACTCTGCACAGTGAATTGCGGTGCCTTAGATGACTGGGCCACTTTCATGTCAGGTGAGCTAAAAACCTCAAGATTTGGGGTGTCCCTGGATTCAACCACTATAGCAGCAACTTCAAAGATCCCACTACCCCTACTAATCTCGAACACTGCTAATCATGCTAACAGTATCCAAACAGTTTGACCGCTACCTTGGATTGGTAGCAAATATTTCAGGATGAAGATCAATGACCCCCAGCTTCTCATCCTCTATAGTGTCCAGGGTCTCCAGCCAGGCCTGGCGGGATCTCATGCGGGGGTGGAGGTAGTCCACCTTGCGGGATGTCATGACCGGCAGGGGCGGGTGCATGGTTGGGGGCTGGGGGGACTGAGCCTCTGGAAGTGGAAAATACAGTTATATTGTCTGTGATGTATTGATGAAAATATCTGAATGATGTACCGTTAAAATGATATGATATTAACAGGGATGCAATTTCATCATTTACTAGCCGGAATACTAGTGAGTGAGTGAGTTCGGTTTAATGCTATTTTGATAAAACGCACCATTTCTATGTCCTGTATATTACATGTGGAAACTTTCAATACAACGTCTTACAATTTGTAATACACTATTTGTATCACTTGTCTTCACATTAACATGATTATCATGACTGTTACATGTTAATTATTATCTCTTACAACTCAACATGCTCGGCATGTACAAAGAAGTGATCAGCTAGGTTTTCACTGAATATGTTATCATGACTTAATTATATTGTTGGCTATGTACATCTTGACCATGTTTGGTCAGCACATTGAACATATTAAACATATAATAAATATTTGTCATGTTTAGATTTTATTCTAACGATGCCATACAACAGCCATGTTATCATGGTTCCCAGTAGTATTGTTAGCTGTGACAATGTCTAAGAGTGACAAATATCAGGCGTTCTAAGACAGAGCATAAAATCATCCCTGGCAACTTACTGGTACTGCTTTCAGGCTGCTCTGTCAACTCCTGTAGTTTGTTTGATGTTGTTGAAAACGATTGAAGACAACGTTCCTGGAAATGCAGTCATATTGAATATGAGATACTCAGCTTCAGCAGATAACTAGCCTGTGATAATCAGATAATACTCAAAATCCTAATCCTAGATCATAAACATGATAACAGGATTACTGGCCACCAACCATTCACTGACATTTTTTGGTGTTACCGTATTTGACGTAATAAGCGCCTGGGGTGCTCTAAAAATTAGATAAAAAGGGGTTCTTATTTGAATATAATTTTGGTGAGAAAAAAAACAGTTGAAAGATCGTAAATGTCAGGGTTTATGCTGACAGCCTGAAATGATGCAAAAGAAAAGTATGTGCGTATCATACATGACAGATATATTTTCCAGAATTTAATTGCCCTTATAATTAAGGGTGCATTTAACACACGAGTGCGTATTATACATGAATAAATAAGTCTTGTGGACACTGATCAATCGGAGGGGTGCTAATTGGGATTGTTCACTATCCAATGTATTAGCAAATATTGCTGTGGGCGCTAATTAGAGCGGAGCGCTTATTACTTCGAATACAGTATTTGTGAAACATTTGGAAATAAAAGTTTACTGTACTACTAACCTTGATTTTTTATGAGACGTGTGACTATTTGAAAATGTGTTCATTTCAATCTATGGAAAAATGTTGATTTCTATTCATTCAATACCATAACAGTGTATAGAAACAATGGAAACAGGAATATCCATTCAACTATACATGCTAATGATTTCAGTTACCACTATCTTCTTCAGATAACAAAATACCATTTTTGACGTAATAAGCACCCCACTCTAATCATGCTAATAAGCGCCCACGGCAACATTTGCTAAGATATTGGCTAGTGAACAATCCCACTTAGCACCCTTCCGATTGATCAATGTACACAAGACTTATTTATTCGCGGATAATACACACTTGTATGTTGTATGCACCCTTTATTATGGGCAATTAAATTCTGGAAAAATATATCTGTTGTACATAAACATTTCAGGCTGTCAGCATAAACCACGAAAATTTATCTTTCAACCAAAATAATTTTCGAATAAGAGCCCCCTATTTCTAATTTTGAGAGCGACCTGGGCGCTTAGTATGTCGAATACGGTACTCTTTCTAATCTCTGTTACTAGGAGACAATCCATAATGAAAAATGATATGCCCATCCTTATCAAGAACACTATTTGCTATGGATTTTGCAATATAACATATGCATGTTTGAAAAAAGTACTAAATTAGGCCACAGGATCATATTTTTGTGAACAAATGACAGATCGATTAATTGTCAGCAATGATTGAACAAAATGTGAATCAACTGGTTGTTGAATGTTTACGTGAACTAGTCACATGACAACACTCATATGTCCTTTCTAAAGTTATCTTGAAGTAAATGAGCTTATCTTGTGTAGTTTTACTCTTCCCCAGAAGAATAAGATCAAGTTTGCTTATTATTTTAATATAAACTAAATCTTGCTTGTAATTCCATAGGAAAAGGGCAAAAGTAAAAAGGGTCGAGAATCGAGATCATGCATGATGTAACTAGCTGTTGGCGATAACCGGTCCTTGGTGATAGCTGGTTGTAAACCAGTGTACAGTAGCATTTAATTCCAATCAATCCGCACCATACACACTTATCAGATTCAGTGTCACTGTGCACACATTCACAAAGACCCGTCAAATACAGTAAAATGATTCAGATAAAATTAACAATTCTAATTTACGTCTTTTTTTTTGCATTTCGTCAAAGTATAAAATCTACCCAAGATAATCTGCAGCAATGTGTGCAACAGTAAACATGGTAAGTAAAGTTCCATGATACAAAAACAAAAATGGTGAGGCCCCCTTTACTGTTATTTAGCAACTCACTTTGATCTTGTTCCTTGCAACGGTTTGTCGGACCAGGAATGACGACATTACTCTTGTGAGGAATGCCATTTGAGTCGTGCACATCTCCATGTTATGTGTGTTGAATTATGAGACTTAGACTTCTGTAAACTAGATCTTGAGCTAGCCTAGAGGTCGCATGGTTGGAACAGGAAACAGCAAGAGTAGCCCGCCCTTAGTTTACAAAACTGCAAATAGTAAATATTACCAAATGTGGGATATGATTTGTCTAAACTTTTAATTTGGGAAACATGAGACACACGTCTTGAGCATCAATTTATTAGAAGTGTAATATAACTCTTTTCCATTTTATTACGACTCATGTCATTGAAATTGTAATGTGAATAAAATCGAAAGATTGCGATTACCACGGGCTTAAATTTACATAAAGCCAATATTAAAGTCGCAGAACTGTCAAGAAGAGAAGGATATTTCCTAATTTCTATTTACAAAGACGTTTTGATATACATCGGCAATATACAGATACAGTAAGTTTACTGATATATCCATTAATAATTTCCCCTAAACATTATTAAAATGTTGAATGAATTTTAGCAGAAATGGATTTTGTGCAACACTGTTTATGTTTTGTAGATCTAGCCAACTTGTTTTGAAATCTACATTGAAAAACTTTACAGGATTTGTGTGTTGGTTAAATTGTTGATCAGCCAAATAACAATGTGTTTTTAAATGTATTTATATTTATATAAATATTTATATTTGAAACCTCTGATCAACCTTCCTGGCACACATCATGCTTGCCATAAAAGGCGACTATGATTGTCGGAAGAGGCGAGCTTACGGGATCGGGTGGTCAGGCTCTTGACTTGGTTGATGCATGTCATCGTATCCCAATTACGTGGATCGATGCTCATGATATCAATCACTGGATTTTCTGGTCCAGACTTGATTATTTACAGACTGGAATATCATATAGCTTGAATACTGCTGAGTGCAACGTTAAACAACAAACAAACCAAACAAAATCCTGGCACACATAATGTTTGTCTCCTACATAGATGATACAAGTGAGTGAGTGAGTTATTGCTTTACGTCACATCGGCAATATTTCAGCCATATCGTGACGAGCATAGATGATACAAGATATGGAGGGTCACAGGTGTCCCAGTTATCTAGCATGTGTTTTAGCACCAAGAGCTGAGGCAATGGAGCAGTTAGCATATAGCAGTGGTGGAAGTGTGTAGCTTCCAAGTTATGGAGAGTGTGGTGGGTTGCACATTTGGAGGTACGTAGCTCAGACGGCAAGGAGTCCATGAAGCCAGCGTTAGAAATTGGCACTAGTCCTATAGTCCTTGCCAAACTGCCCAATGGTAAAGGTATCATAAGGACTAGAAGAAATTTGCCCTTTTTAAGGGTTTTGCTTTATGTTATCATTATAAGGACTAGTGGCCGAAAACTGTTAGTTTCTAACCCTGATAAAGCCCTGACGTATGCCGTACATGCATCCCTGGCTGTCTTAGGTGCCTTGTTTCTGAGGCATGTGAGAAACATATTATCGTCAGTTTGAAATGCCCTGAATCAATTTCCATGTTTGTCAACATCATAGAGCTGAGTATCGCCTGGTATCTTGCATTACGATTTGTATCACGATACGGACTGACGATACAACCAGTATCTCGATAAACCACATCAATTAGTTAGCAATGATTAAATCACTGAAATACAGCTCTGAAACCTCTTTCTTCATACATTTATTTATTGTTATCTCAAAACCTTTATCAAGGAAACCACAAGAAAAAAACAGTTTGAAATGAAGGGATGGTTATTAAATGTAACAGTCGGTGGGTCCTCAGTGCTCAGCCACCACGTCCTCGTGCTCTGCCATGCTTACAGGTGGCGCTGTGTTACTTCTGCTATTACAGGAGGTAACTCTGTTAGTTCCTGTTCTATTTATATTAGTGTATCACGATCCCACAAACTGACGATTCAACATGTTCAAGTATTGTGTGTACCAAATTATCATTGTTTGTTTGTTTGTTTGTTGTTTAACGCTGCACTCAACCAAGTCAGCAAACCTGACCACTGATACAGTTAGTCAATGATACTGTAGGTATCTGTGAATCGTTACAGCCCTACAACACCATGCCCGTACTCATGATGTTAGTGAAATACTATTGAAAGCGACATTAAGCCTCACTCTCTCCAATCAATGTTATCATCTAGTAGGCCAAGGTGATCTCTCTGTAAGATGTCTCCAGTGCCAGATGAAGACCCAGATAAGCAAGGTATTGAGGACATTGAAGACATGGACACCCCCAACATGGTGATGCCAGCCGTCATGGAGGACAGTGAGGACGAGGAGGACACTGTCCCCCAGGGCTACCAGCCTCTGTCTCAGGGACCAGAGGACATGAATGGAAACAATTTTGATGAAGATTCTGACGATGACTCTGGCATGTCAGAAGGAGAGGAAACTGGTGGTCAGAATGTCGCTATGGGTACTGGAATAGTACCAAGTGGACTTTATCCCAACTATCCTGAAGGAGACCTTCCATCATATTTACAGGTAATTTCTGTTTAGATAGTCAGGATTAGTTTTGTTTATGAAATGAATCGGGATGGATGGATGGATTTAGTGTGGCCATTATTTGAAAAAGAAGTTGACGTGCAGAACGACAAAAAAGGTTTCAGTTTTGATAACTCTTTCATGTTTCCTTTTTACCTTATAATATAATTGTGATAAACTGTAGACTCTTTGCACATGATAAAGCTAAACACATGTTAAGAATTACCCGTTCAGATAATCAGTAAGTAAAAATACTAAGTAAGTGTTATAAATCAGTTATTTTTGTGGGAAGAATGAACTATTGATTAGGACATTGTAACATATGCCCAACATTAACTTAAGTAGCCCTAAACACCTCATCTTCCCGAGGCAAGAGAGTTAACTGACTATAAAAGTCCAGTTTCCACCCTTGCCGAACTAGGCTGGTATTATGGAGTTACATTTTGGCTGGACTAACGAGTCTATGCATAGTCCAATCAAAATCGCGCACCGAAATCGAAATCCGGTTCGTAAACTGTCAGGCAGATTTCGGTCGATTGCAGGATTTGCAAAGCATGTGCACCGCCAACTCATTGTCAACAGACATTTTCGAAACCTTTTCATGTTTTTAATCAAGGTGCTCGTGTGATTTGATGCTCTTCGCGATGTTAGACCCGTTTTATCACAATATAGATCTTGATTATCGATCAGATCGTCTTGACTGGGCGCCGCCATTCTGTTTGAAACAAATGCAAGTGATGGGATGGGATTGGTCCAAAGGAGAGGCTCAGAAGGGACATAACTCATAATAACCACTGGTGGTGCTACAATCGAGCCCAGGAATTCCAGCCTAGTTCGGCAAGGGGGGAAACTGGACTTTTAAAGTCAGTTTACTCTCTTGCCTTGGGAAGATGCAAACACCTAAACTAGTCTTTGCTGGTGATGAAGTGCTCAACTGGTCAACTCTTGCTGTTTCAGGTACCTGATCTTCCACAAACAGACAAGAAAGATATGCTGTGGAACCAACCACGTCTCGCCAGCGCTGATGGAATGGACTCAGGCAAGTGTTTGTTACTGCTTTACAGAGTTGTTTCCCTTAGACATGCCAGGCTCCTCTGATCATGGATTTCAATCTATACCTCGATTCCTCCTGCCAAAATTCAGATGATAATTGTGAAGTTGACACGATTACACACTATGAACCACGCCTCCGAGCCTGACCATTCGATCCTTTTGGCCTCTTACAATACCCATACATTTATTGGGATCTGAAGTGGCACAGTTCAGGCCCAACATTTCACTGTCCCCAGCAACCTATGTTTGTCGTTACAGGCGCCAAATGGATCTGGTGGTTGGGCTGAGTGACTTGGTTGATAGCGAGTCATCATACCCTGATTGCATGGAGCGTTGTTGACACTGTCATACATTGATGCAGACGTGATTATTTACAGGCGGATGCCATACAGTTGGATGAATGATGAATGCAGTGTTAACAACCAATAAAGAAAAACAAACTGTGCAACCCACTCACTAAAGAAATAAACTATATTGGGATACAGCTTTTGTTTTACTATTTTACATGTAGTTGTGTCGGTATGAGTATGTTGGTCACTGTACTGTTATCCTTGCAGGTCAAGCAGCTGCTGTTAAGAATGCAATGAAGGGATTTGAACTTCCTGGATGTAGCATACCTGACTGGGCCAAAAATGTATCAGAGGACAAATGGAAAGAGCAGCTTATGTCTCGCCTGTCTACCCACGGCCCCCGAGATAATATCTTCTCAGCCTCCCTTGTGTCTAGCAGTGAGATGTCGTCACAGAGCTCCGAAAGCAGCCTCAGTGAAGCAGAGAAGGAAATTGGCTGAGAGTATTCCATACTCTTGTGAAATAAACTATTGCATGAAGGAATAATGTGCGTGAATGTGAAAGAAATTGTTTATGGTAAACTGACTTTTTCTGAATCCAGCCATGATGTATGCCGTAACTGTACTGCAAAACGTCAGTCACTTTCACCGACTCATTCACTCACTATCTAACCACTGTCTCCAACGAAGATGATGCTTGTTAAAATTAGAATAAAAATACTTTCAATTACAATGACCGAAAAAATGTACCGGTACTGTTGAAAAAAACAATTTGTTCAGCGTCTCATGTCAGAGAAAAAAAATTGCATGTCTTAAACATTTTTTTGGTTTTTAACAAAAATCCCAGCCCCTGAGAATAAGATGTAGCTGTTCCTTACGCAGTTGAGTGTTGACATCAGATCCAGTGTCTATAAGTCCATGCACTAATGACTTGACTTTTGAAGGTGTTAATGTCATTAGTAAGCTCCAGTAGCATAGTGCAGTACAATTGCTGGGTTTTGTTGCTACTGCTCCAAACCACAAAGCTGCTTTTGGTAAGGACTGAACATTTAGTACTGCAGGCTGAAGAATGCTTAGTCCATAAATGCCTTTGTTTTCTTTCTTTTCTGTCTTAATTGCTGAAATAAGACAAAAACTAAATTTAGAAACCCTGCTTGATCAAATTAACTGTGAATCATGTGTATTGCTGCTTTTACAGGAAGTAACATTTCTTGGTGATATTTAAAGTATTTCTATGCCAGACTTCTTTATTTCTTGGTTTAAAGCTTTGTGTGAAAAAATCCTGGTTGGTAGCCCTGTTAGGTGGGATTTACAAAAATCATTTTTTATTTTTTTCAAAACATTTACAGTGCTGATGAAGCCAATCTTGTCAGTCTTGCATTTTAATATATTGTGAAAGTAATGTATATTTTGTAGTGAAAATCCAAGTGTAATGTGGTCTGCTCTACTCATTGCTTTAATGGCAGTCAATGGTAGGGTTCTCCCATGTCCATGTACGCAAGGGGTTCATTTCACCTCAGGAGATATAAAGAGCCTCATTTCATCAGCTGACTACATATTGACAGCCAACTACACCGCTAAGTGTCTGTATGTATTCACGGGTGATGGACATGTGTTTACAAACCCATGAAGTATTGACTATGATACATATAGGTGTAATTCTTATGATGAGAGATGTTATACAAGGAGGGACAGTAGGTATTTCCCCCACACTGCAGTAGACCAGGGCCAGTCAGGGACAAAACTGATCCCAAGCACCCAATGCTCCTCAGTATGGCAAGACTGAATTGGTGGTTACAATGGGTGACTGGGATGATTGCGTGCTCATGCTGTCAACCACTGGTTTGCCTGACCCACACTTTTTTCCAGGGCACAGTTTATAGGTGGAATATTGTTGGTTGGTCGATCTCTTTCAGATCGTTTACACTGAAGCGATACCTGTCTGTGTGAATATGTGAGGTCACCATCCATAGAAAGTCGCATTGGGTGAGCTGCTTTATCAGCGTCAAGGTTTCTAAAGTTTCGATACAAGTGAAGGAAACGTTTCTGAAAGTATAAAACAAATATATTTGGGGAGTTCCGATTGTAAGATAAGTGAATCTACACTATTATAATGTGGAAAATTTATACTTCCATGTTTCCAGCGCATTTACATCGAAAAGGTCCTACTATTGAGACTATGTTTGTATGTTATTGCAGTTTCCCTTTGCTGAGATTGATATTTTCAAATCAAGGTAGTAAAAAATTAAGTTGACGCATTTTAGAAAGCAGACATGTCATTGGCTAAAGCAGCAGCGCATCCTTCATTAAGACTAGGTCAATGTTCACTCAGGGTTCACTTGAAACAACCAACCGGCTTAGATCTTCATGCAGAGAGGTATTGTTTTGGAGTAAAAAGATTCAATAAGATTGGCTGTCTGGTGTAAGAGACCACTCAGTCACTGTAGTGTACCAGGTTTAGATACAATTTAAAGTAGGTATCTAACCCTGCTAATCATTTCACCGTTGTTTTACAAATATGATTTACATTCATGTCAGAAACGGGAATGGTGTTTTCTGGAATATTTGTCCTTTGAAGTCATTGCAGCAGGTCTCATGTTTAAGCTTCCATTCTTTAAGTTTGGTTCCACATTTATTTATTATTTCCACCTTTGCAATCATGGAACTTTGTCAGGGGGATTTAGTTGAAAATAATAATTAATCGCAGAATACATTACCATGCCTTTGAAACTTGCGTGGAGATAAATTCTATTCCACCATGAAGGAACTAAGACTTTAAGGTGATAGACAGAGGAACCCTTTTTTGTTAAGACCAGATTTATGAGGACAAAGTTGTACTTCAGTCTGTGATATTATTTTTGAGGACCATATATGTCTGATTTGTGTACATGCATCTGTGTATTGTCATAAAGGAGGTATTCATTGTGTATATGAAATAAACACTATGGAAAATGTTGAACTGCTTTATGTCATTAATGACTAAATTATAGTTTCTACTGTGTTGTATGCATATTGTATTAAGTGAGTGAATGGGAATTTTGTTGTGATTCAGCAATTATTCAGCTACTTTATACAAACACTGTACATCTTCCCTCCAGACTGTAAGCAAGAGTCCAGCTTCCCTCCACACATTGACTAAAAGTTAATCTTCCAGACATCTTTGTTCCATACATTGACCAAGAGTCCACCTTCCCTCCAAACACTGACCAAGAGACCATCTTCCCTCTACACATTGACTAAAAGTCAATCTTCAAGACGTCTTTCCTCAATACATTGACCAAGAGTCCACCTTGCCGCTAGAGATTGTCTAAGAGTCCATTTACATTCAGATATTGACTAAGAGTACATCTGTTCTCCAAACATTAGCCAAGAGACCACCTGTCCTCCAAACGTTGACCAAGAGTCCCTGTGTCCTCCAAACATTGACCAAGAGTCCCTGTGTCCTCCAAATATTGACCAAGCGTCCATCTTTCCCGCAAACTGACCAAGAGTCCCTGTTTCCTCCAAATATTGACCAAGCGTCCATCTTTCCCACAAACAGTGACCAAGAGTCCACTTTCCCTCCAAACACTGACCTAGAGACCATCTTCCCTCTACACATTGACTAAAAGTCAATCTTCAAGACGTCTTTCCTCAATAAATTGACCAAGAGTCCACCTTGCCGCTAGAGATTGTCTTAGAGTCCATTTACATTCAGACATTGACTAAGAGTACATCTGTCCTCCAAACATTAGCCAAGAGTCCACCTGTCCTCCAAACATTGACCAAGAGTCCACCTGTCCTCCAAACACTGACCAAGAGTCCCTGTGTCCTCCAAATATTGACCAAGCGTCCATCTTTCCCGCAAACTGACCAAAAGTCCCTGTGTCCTCCAAACATTGACCAAGAGTCCACCTGTCCTCCAAACATTGACCAAGAGTCCACCTGTCCTCCAAATATTGACCAAGAGTCCACCTGTCCTCCAAACATTGACCAAGAGTCCCTGTGTCCTCCAAACATTGACCAAGAGTACCTGTGTCCTCCAAATATTGACCAAGCGGCAGTCTTTCCCGCTAACATTGGCCAAGATTCAATCCATCCTCCAAACATTGACCAAGCGTCCATCTTTCCCACAAACAGTGACCAAGAGTCCATCTTTCCTACAAACTTTGACAAGGGTCTCATTTTCCCTCCAGGGGTTGTCCAAGAGTCCACCTCCCCCCCCCCCCCCCCCCCCCCCCCCAGACAATTATCAAGAGTCCATGTCCCATCTAGACATTGACCAAGCGTCCATCTCCCATCAAGAAATTGAGACACCGAATTTTCCTAGATACTGACTCCCTGTCGTCGAACCATAACATTGTGTTTATAATTGAACTGAATATCTTTCCCACTTCAATCGAACATAAAATGTATGCAGTATGACAAACAAGCTCATCAAAATAATAAGAAATCTATTACATGCAATAG